GATACGTAGTGCAGTACAAGTACGTCAGAACACCACATCCACACAGCTGCCGAGAAGCCGGTTACACTCGGTCGCTCATGGTGCCGCCTGCCCTGGGCGGCTATTAGAGTGTCTAGGATGCTCCGATTTCTCTTTGTGCAGTCGCTAACGCTGAGGTTGCTCGGGGAAGTTCAGCGGGGTTTGATTTTGGTGCGATGACAGCCATTTCCATCAACCATGGAGGCCTTGGGCGATCAAAGAGTGGTCGGAAAGGGCTGGCACTGCGCCAGTACCCACTCTCCACAGACTCCAGTAATAATGGCTGTATACGGAGCGGCATCGAGTTTGGCTCTGGGCCCGTCACAACCTCCTCCACCACGTGACTGCTACAAAAATATCAAGGATCTCCGGCAGGAAACTGTGAAGTATGCTTTCAGATGCGCCACAGTTCCGATAGGGAAGTTGAGTTTCTGGCGCATTCGAGGACTAATCGATATCTCAGATTAACTTACACTGGCGAATATTTCCAGTACGCAGATGTGAAGGAAGACGTATTGAATGGCTGACTGAATGGCTTGATATCGTTGATTTCGCATGTCTCTGACGACGTCCACCATTGAAGCGTCCGACTTCTCCCGAATCTTCAGTGATGCGTAATCGATGGCTAAACGAAAACACTTTCATCGGAGGGATATAGTGGGACTTTCTAGACGAGAGGTGGACTTTAGTCATGCTCAGCCTGCCTTCTGCTCTCTTTCCACTTTCGCAAGCGCCTCGTCGCTCAGACAAACATTACCGGTGACATACATGGCTCGATCTGCGACGATAACAGAAACGTACCAATAAACGTTGCACTTCGTCCAATACCTGCCGAACAATGCACAGTAATCGGATTGCGTGCAGACAGGTTTCGTGATAATCTTAACATTCCTACAGTCGGTGCTGGATTCAATGGTGCCGTATGGTCGGGCCATTCAAAATAGGCCAGATGATGAACAGTGCACGTTTTACCTTCGCTGAAAAAACACCTCGGAGCAAATGTACGCACGTACAAAATACTCGCAATACTCTATTGAAGTGTGCAGGAGATGACGCGGCTGAGGAACCCTCTAGATGGTACATGAGATGGTCTGGGAAAGGGTTTTGTTTTGCCAACCAGGAGGGATTTGCTTTAATTTAAAACCAATCGATTCAAAGCGGAAATGCTTGTTCAAGGCTCCTTTGTTCAAGGCTCCTTTGATTCAAAGCGAAAATGCTACGAGGTTGTCGAGTGGGCTGGATGAGAAGAATGTGAGCGTATGAGCGCTATTCAAGCAGTCGAGACGGGGGGGGGAGGGCGCAGTCACCCTCGATCAGTACCACACGAAACCCAAATAATTAGAAGATTTGCCGCACAGCCAACTTGAAGGGTGTAGAGTGCGCGTGACAGAAGGAAAATCAAGAAACGGAAAATGTTCTGTGGGAGCTGAATACGACCCCACCTGCCCAAGTGACCAAACCCGCCCTCCTGATGGGTGTTGGATAGCGACTGTGAAGGCCGATGTACAATGGTAATCCTCCGTACGAATGATTGGGGCGTTTGATGTGGCGCGAATGGGAGCGCGGTCAGAGTGGCCTTGTTCCAGATGTCCTCCTGCCCCTACAGTTATTGAAAAATTGCTCTGGATGCGCTTCACGCCACGCCGCCCTCGTGCGCGCCATCAGTTTCGGGGGTCACAACTATACAGGCTGATGGGGCCCTCTCATCTGTTGCTTTACAAATTGGGAAATCCACAGTTATGGCTGTTTCCTCACCCATACTTCACTTCCAATTCTGTATGCTTGATTCCTTCAAATGGATCCGGCTTCGATGACTTAACGGCTACTATAAATCCACCATAATTTCCGACTTCCTTTTTCTCTTTAGGCAAATAAAAACAACATTTTTCATGCTTTCCTGAACAGTACTGAATTTTCAGGGGGGGGGGGGGGGCGACTGGCGCATAAAAGTGATGCTAGCGCAGTGGCTAGAGGTGCCGCATGGAATTCAGACAGTTTGTGGATCGCTTTTAGCTTTAGTCGACTAGGCTCACGAATAGTACCAAAGGGCTAAGGACACGTACCAGTGTCGCAGTGTCGCTAGCCACTACGCTATCATCTGGGTTAAAATTACCTTCGTTGAAGTTGCAAAGCATCACAATTACTCTGCATTTTTCGGAAGTGATCATATGCCAGAAGTCGCCCACGTATTCTTGTAAGGGTCCCTGCAAAAACACTTTTGGAACGGATGATAACCTTTAGTCCATTACGCTTTGCGCCGCGTGCCAGAGCGATGTCGAACGCAAGCGCGCAAAATCGATATCTATCATAAAGTACAGGAGCAGCTGATTTCAGATCAAGCTGGGGAGCAGTTTAGCGCCAAAGCGTCGACTATGAAGATCAACACACCTGAGTGCAGA